TACAGACTGAAACCTCCACAAACTGTAAGCTAAATAAACTTTTCCTTCAGGTAGTTTTGTCTCAGCAATGAGGGAAAAGTATTCAAAACACCAGTTTTCTCTTTAACTCATTTCCTTTGAAACAAGCTCCCTTTCCTGCTCTCCTTGCACATATAAGAGGGGACAGAGGGGATTTCTGCTCCCAATCCCCTTACAGTAGACATGCAGCACGAGTTTTCTCTTATTTCCAATAAAATTCTCATAGCTTTCTTCCGTGGTTCAAGACTTCATTCTTCATCGTTTATGCAACCGCGAGCTCATTCTGTACAGACATAACGGTTACAACACGAAGTAGATAGGCAGATATTAGATAGACAGCAGGAGGTAGATCTTTTTCAGATGGGAAGAGCTGGAAAAGGGAGGGGAAGAAAATGCACTGAAAAAACAGTTGAGACGTGTTATGTACAAGTATCAGTTCCTCACAGGACTGTAAGGACATAACACAAACATGCACTGTACTAAGAAAAAAAAATGTAAAGAGAAACTCCGGGATGATAAGCAAATCTTGCTGATTCTCTCTTCCAGTCACTCCTAAGAACTTACCTTCCGTCCATTAGCCATCCTTTCTTTTGCCCTGGGTTCTCATCACACAGATTGTCTGATCTCTCAATCTCCAATTTTCCTTCGGCCCAACCTATTAGTGTTCAGACATGAGTCCAGCATGTTCTTTTTGAAATGCACGTATGACCATAACAATTAGCAATATGGCACATCTTCTTAACTTAAAGCACAAGATCCTTTATGACTAATTTGTTTTCAAGCTTCCAACCTACATTCATCTTTTATTGCATGCTCACACACAGGTTATGCTCATCCTACAGATGTACATACACAAATACGCCACACTCTTGCACAAAGTCTGTATTCATGGTCTTTTTGTGCCTGCAACTCCATGTTTGGCGTTATTCAGCTCACCACCCCTCAACTATGTTCTCCCCCAAAGCCTTTTGTAACCCCTAAATCTGAATCATACAATATTTCTCTACGTATTCTGTATAAATCCTTATCACAGCACCTACCATATTATGCTGTAATCACAGATCTATGTCACAGTGGCTAACAGTTTAGACGTTACAATCATAATATCTGGGTTTTAGTTCTACAGGCTGTTAGGTGCCTGGCCCTGCTGAAATGACAGTACCTTGCATCCTCTACTTTCTCTGTTTGAAAAAGGATGTGTGATAATAATACAATGTAATCTATAGCATTTCTATAAAAATTAAATGAGATGATGTAAAACACGTTGTACAATGCCTCGTACAATACTGTACACTCATTCAATAAACATCCAACTTTTAAACCTAGTCTCATTACAAATTACTATTATGACGTAGATTCTATAAAAGATAAAGTAACTACTTAGTTTCAGATTCACATTTAGGAAGGTAAATTTTAACACATGGCGGGAGAAGATTGGCTTTCTGTGAGTGCGCAACAATCTGGATTAGATTAGGGAGGTATCAATGATTCTGCGTCAGAAGAGGGGTTCAGAGACATCAAAATCGAGAGGTTTATTTTTTTTTTTATTTTTTTTTTTCTAGTACCGGGAATCAAACTCATGACCTCACACTTGCCAGGCAGGCGCTGTGCTGCTGAGCTAAATCCCCAGCTCCTAATCAAGAGGTTTAGAGAGACGAGTTATTTGCAGAATTTCATATGAGCCACAGCTTTTAAAAGACAAGGAATGGGGGGCTGGGGATTTAGCTCAGCAGCAAAAAGTGCCTGCCTGGCAAGCGCAAGGTCGTGAGTTCGGTTCCCGGTACCGGAGAAAAA